ACTACAACTGGACAAGATGCTGGTGTCATCTCTCAAATGAATCTGGAATTTCTTACAATGATGTACTGCATTGAAATTCCGTTGCAAAGCATGGGAAGTCTGTATTACAACCAAACTATTATTAAAACCAGTTCAGAACAAGATTAGTTCTGCATTGTGACAACACGAAAGCTATTCATAGGTCACTACCAAACATGGAGTTTTAATAAACTGTATTTGTCAACAAGGAAATTCCTCCTCCTCACCTCACCATCAGTATTCTTAATTTCACTCACTTGTACCTTCACTTTTTCTATTGAAGCTAATTATTTCCAAACTTTTTTCACTCAAGGCTTACCAAGCAATACTAAATTATTAAAGGTATATATTTACCAATAGAAAAAGTTGTACTTACTACCAAATATCACATTAACAGTTTTAACAAAAGTAAAAATTTCAACCTAATTACAAACCTTATCACAGATTATTTTTTAGAATCATAAAAGCATATGAAAACTTAGGGAACTGAAGCATCTCAACAGCATGAAGTATCATAAACAGAAATCTTTTTAGAAATAGGAACAAAAATCCTTTTTTACTTAATCTTTTTATAATGGCAAATTTTTTCAAAAGTTTAACTATTCAATATAAACCTTACAGCAAAAATACCTGGACATCCTCTTGTCCATTATAAGACATTTTTGCAGTACTAAATATAGTGGCTTATAGTCTTCCTTTAATAATGCTGATGGAGCTAAAAAGGCACAAAACCTCTCCAGAAGAATCTCCAGGAGCAGTGAAATTTATCTATTCATGATCAGGATTAAAATACAAAACAAAAAAATCCAAACAAAAAAAAAAAAGAAATCACACTGACAAGCACCACTTCCCACTTTGCAAGAAGCACCAGCTAGTGCTTCCCTTTTGTTTGCTCCGCTTACAAATGGCATATCTTCTTATCTTTGCAGTTGTCTTTCTCTACATTTAGAACCTCCCCCAAGCTCAAAGAGATCTATTCCTTCCCCCTACTGAAGTTTACAAGAATGACACAAACTATTTTTAAAAAAAAAACATTTTCTTTGCCATAAGCAAAGCTGGCCTTTGCTGGAGAACTACAGTTAAACTCTCAATCACCTTACCATGGTATTACAAACAAATCCTCTGAATTATTGTTGCTTCAAATGCACACAGAGGTCCATAGCAAATATAAGACAGCCGGACTTCCCTTAGCTTACAATGAATTTGACTACAGACTATTTGTGTAGCCCAGTCTACTACTGGACTTCTCACAGCAAACAAAACAGACATCGGATTGTAAGGATTAACCTTTCTGTGTTTTCCCCAAAGAAAAACAGTTACAATAACCTGTTAAGCAGAGTTAGAATGTGCAGTTCAAGCAGTTACCACCCCTTAACAATATGCAGTAACCACCCACTTGAACTCTTAAACTTGTCTTCTTATGCTCTAAAATATTAAGGGATAGCTTGCATTAACCTCTTGTGCTTTGTATTCAGCCTACCTTCAGTGTTACTTAAAATCCATCCTTGACAAAGTTTACTTTGCATTAAAATAGACCCACAGAGGCAGCCAGCTTATCTTGCTGAGGAAGCAAACTACTTACCTCAAAAATGCAACCGCAAGGGCTTATCTAATTACGTCCAAATGCAATATATTATGCACTCAATACCCAGGATCCCTCTCTCTTACCAAATGATGTTTGCAGGAGATGTTATTATCTATTAATTTTAGTTAATTAATTATAGCCTGTAAGTCAGCATCACCACAGAAAACTAAAAAGGAGTACAAAACATCAAATTACTAAGGATGATAAAACTATTTCTAAAAGCACTTCACTAACTCCAAGGATACTATACAGCATGATGTGCATGTTCAATGTATTTATTTTTTTAAAAATAATTCTGAAGTAATTTACAAGTACAGCAGTACAAAGCGCTTGCCCTAACAAATACACCCTTCTTTTCACAATGTCCATATTGCTAAAGTTTTCATCCAGACTGTCTCATCCTTCTTGCCTATTTGTTATCTTAAGCCTCCTCTAGTAATCTCTCAGCTCTAGGTAATACAACTACAAAGGTTCATTTTCCAAATTCTCCCTTTCTGTCTTTCATTATGCTGGAGTCATACACTACTTTTAATTTTTCTACCTTTCTTTTCTGAGCTGACTAGTCTCACTCACAAGCCCCCTTTCTATCTATCATTTCATTCTGTGCTGAGAAGTCAGCTCCACCTCAAATTGGCCTCTCCCCATTACTCACCTGTTCAGTTTTCAAATTCCTTTATTCTTTTCTCCAGCCCCCTCCTAGCCCCGGCAGGGCTGCCTCTAGCCCTCTGCAAGACTATCATTATTGTCTTTTAAAACTCCTCTACATCATGATCCTGAAAAAAAATTGAGGAAGGTATGCTAATGCCAGAGCTTCCCATGCTGACTAATCTTATTTCTCCTCTGCCTGTGGCCCCTCTGCCATCCACTCTGACCTTCTGCCCTATATTTAAGAGCCATTTCTTTCAAGCGGAGGCTGACTCCTGGTTCTGGGTTTGTTGATGCTCATGCACTGGTATACAGTTACAGCCCTTAAAATTCTGTTAGTATAAGCAAAAAAAATGAGAGACCTAGCATTTCCATAGACTACAACTGCACTTGTAAGAGTAAGGCAACCATGCAGCAAAGGGACTTAATGGTATCCCAGGCTGCATTAAGAGGAGTGTTGCCAACAGGTGGAGGTAGATAATCCTTCCCCTCTGCTCAGCACTGGTGAGGCCACACCTGGAATACTGAGTCCACTTCTGGGCTCCCCAGTACAAGAGAGACATGGACATACTGGACAGAGTCCAGCAAAAGGCTGTAAAGATGATTAAGGGACTGGAGCATCTCTCCTATAAGGAGAGGCTGAGAGAGAGCTGGGACTGTTCAGCCTGGAGAAGAGAAGGTTCATGGGGGACCTCATCAATTGTACAAATACCTGAAGGGAAGATGAAAAGAGATCGGAGCCAGGCTCTTTTCAGTGGCGTCCAGAGACAGGACCAGAGGCAATGGACATACACTGAAACACAGGGGGTTCCCTCTGAACGTCAGGAAACACTTTTCTTACTGCGAGGATGACCGAGCATTGGCACAAGCTGCCCAGGGGGGTTGTGGAGATATTTAAAAGCTATCTGGACACAGTCCTGGGCAACTAGCTCTAGGTAGCCCTGCTTGTGTAGGGGGGGTTAGACCAGATGACCTCCAGGACCTCCTTCCAACCTCAACCATTCTGTGATTCTGCTCTCTCAGTCCTGCTAACCAAAGATACTTCTGTTACTTTCAGATTTGAGATACGTATCTTTTACACTTAGTGATAAGTAGAGTCTCACTGTCTTTTTAACTCATAACCTATTCCCTGACTGCACCACAAAAGTATACAGCAAAATTCTCAATCTACTGCAATGGTAACACAAATAACAGATTCCTGTCCCAATCCTTGATTTGGGGTTCCCTTACACCAAACACTGAACAATCCTGGGGAGGGCAGGGCGCTGGGGAGAGAAAGAAAAAGTGCAGTGGTACATTCTGACTTCTGTACCCATGCAAGAAGCATGGAGGAGTTGCTAAATGCTTCCTCAGTCGAGGTGGACCAATCTTGTGTTGTACCCTTCTACCCAGTAGTGGGAGAGGGAAAGCGTACAGCACATACTGAGCTGGCATTGATTGTTTCATCCCTGTCTGGCAATCTGATTCCCCATCTGAACCTCAGACTAAGTAATTAGATGTCACACCTAATTTTGGGTTAATGCAAAAGACATCAACATGCCCGAATGTTTGAGGTCTACAGTTCAGAAGGCAATAGCAGGGTGGAAAGCATGCCAGGTTTTTACACAGGTAATAAATCAGGCTCTTCAGAGATCAACTATTCAATATATCCAGACACAAACATGAACCCTGCTTGTTAAGTCACACATCTCCACATAGGCAACATTTCCTAATGTGAAAAAAAAAATAATCCCAACCTTCCCTGTCTGTTTTATTACTAAGTGAATACAATCCAGTGTACACCATCTTTATAAACACAAACTCTCAATACTCTTAGAACAAAAAAACATACAGCAAATAAAAGACCATACTGTCTGTTGGGATACAAAACACTCCACAGAATCTGCTTGAAAACTACTCTTATATATAGATCATCACCTAACACTTTGTAACACATAACAAGAGTTCTACAATTTGGGAAAGGGCAGACTGCATTACTGCACTGCTCTTCTCTGTTTGCTCAAAGCTGTAAGGTTTCTACTAACATTCCAGTCTCCATCTTCTCTGTGTGTCATTCCTGAATGACCTTGGCTCTCATTGTATGTGTAGCAATACACTTCTTTGAAGCACATACTGCTGCATTGCACAAGACAACCTTAAAATAAATCATGTAGGGAGAGTAATAATGCCAGGAACACTGACTTAGTCCTAACACTGCCAAACAATTCTAAATGCAACCTACTTATCACACTACCTGCTCTTCTTCTCAAACATATGCCAACAATGTCATCTGAAGAATGAAATGCTGTCACCATTTTCACTTTATAGGCATAACTTGATTCAAACCATATTGTAATCACTACTTACTGGGCTTTCTTAATAAGTATTAAAAAAAAGGCTAAGTGCCCTGAACTGAAAATTAAACCACTTGTCTAGAAGCCCATATGTGAAAGTGGAACCTTCACAGTTTTGGGTTGTTGGGGTTTTTTTTTGTGTTAGTCTGAACAGCTGAAGTTGACAGGGTTTCTTTTCCCTCCTCCTAGAAAACTTTTCACTAGGACACCTCAGGGAATAGTGCAGAAAACTGGCTCATATGGCATTACTCACAGCAGCATTAATCATCATAAATAAGAGTGGAACGCTCAGCCCTTACAGGCTAAAAACCAGGTAGAAGCCTGATAAAGCAAAGTATTTGAAAACAAGTACAGAAGTAGGGGAAAAACTTCAACTTATCTACAAAGTATAGACAATTATAGGAAAAAAGGGTACACACCGAATTTTCTTCCTCCTCTTCTAGTTCTCTCTGCTGTTCCTCATGTCGCTTTGCCTTTATCTCCATAGCTTCAGTGATCAGGTCCCTTAAAATTGAAACTGGCTTGGCATTCTTAATAAATGTATGCTAGAAATAAAAATTCATTAAATTATATAACATCATTACAACACTTACGGTTCAGATGAAATTACAAGTATTAGTCAAAACCACAGATTTCAGTGATAAATAGTATTTTACAGTACACAATAGTTAAAATCTACACTAACACAACATACAATATCTTTTAGCTGCTTCATAACTAAGATTTTACTTTAACTATTTCTCATAACAACAAGCCTTTGGAAATGTAATCATATAACAACTGTTTTATAGTTAAGGATCTAATTGTCCAAAGGAAACACACAGTAAGTAGTAAATAAATAGTGTTGATTGTCTGACATAGAAAAACAAACTTTTTCAGATATTCAGTTACAGAATTTAATTAATCTTAACAAACTGACAGCATAAATTAGTGGCTGTAAGCAGAGAAACTGTGGCTGCCCACTTCAACAAATCTGCACTTTATACGTCATAAAACATTTCTTGATCTATAACGATGAAATGTGGAACAAGAAAAAGACACGTTACTTTTAATTTAAGGCCATTTAAAACATCATTTCTTCCTTTAAGACAACATGTGCACAATACCATTTACATTCGTTTTGCTATCTCGTAAACATCTGCTGTTAGAAAAAATTCTGATTTTTGCATCATTATATGCAAATATAATTTAGACAAAACATAACTCTAAGCACATCAGAAATGTTTTACTAAATATTAAAAAACTGCCCCACAAAGAACAGAATTGATTAAGATTAGTGTCCCACACCTACTATCTTTCTTCTCCCTTGATATATTCCAAATTCCAGCTAGGGGAAAAGGCAACACACATTAGTGCTGGACACAGCATTTGGTTTTCTGGCAAGTAAGCATGTGGAAAGAGGAACACTGAAGCTTCCCCCCTCCCCCCCTGCACTTGCACACATTAATACAAGTCTTTCCTACCCAGCTGCTGGTCTTCAGCTAACCACACAAACTTCAAATATTCAAGGTCTTGAGTACTGATTCATACATCACATGAAAATCTAAAACTTTCGATGTTTCTCTCTTGGCAGTCTACATTTTGGTGTTTTCACATGACATGAATTTAATGATCTATCACTGGAAACTAATTTGCAAAAATTTTATGTTCTCCTTGTAGTGGAGTTTAATTGAATTTAAATTTTAAAAGAGGCTATTGCTAGCTAGAGAGAGAATAAATCTAGCATGAGCGTCTTAGAGATGACATTTCAGAAGATCGGATTCTTATGTAGAATGATGAACAAAGAAAATTAATAATAATATTTACCAATAGCAGTAAAAAGCATTAAAAGAACAATAAATTATCTGAAAGTTTAATGAATTAGGAATCAGGAAAGTAAAATGAGCAAAGGACCTAGCAAAAATTTTTACTTCTGTCTCATATCAGGCAAGCTTATTTACAGGCAATTTTAGATTCCATTTCAATCATCACAGAACCTATTATAGTTTTTCTAGAAACCTTCCCCTCCTGCCCCCTGCGGTATCTCCAAAAAGTACCAAAAAGATGCAACTGTTAAATTTCTGCAGCTACTAGAACTCAGGTCAGCAAACAGGAAAAAGCCTGGCACACCCTGCCCTGGCTCCTTAAGTCCATACCACCAACTGTGGCTCAAATTTAAAAGTGCCACTTTGTATAACTCGGCCCAAGAACAAACTCCTTATACTGTCCATCTGCATCAGACCTAGGACACAGAGCAACCTGTCTGCTTAATTTGACATGACCAGAAGGGCAGATCAAATGTAAATATACTCCATGGGTGGTCGACACTGAGGGGTAACCTGGGCTCAGTTCCTTTACTTAACACTTGCCTGAATCCTGAGATCTACTGAGGGCCTCTAACCACAAAGCAAGGATCCAATTTTAACAGCAAGAACCAGCCCTAAACTATATAAAGAGCAATTAATTTTTAGAAGCAGCAAAGGAGAAAGAAAGTAGGGGTAGAGATACAGGAGCTGACAGAGAAAAGATCACAAAATGGAAAAGAAATAAAGCACGATAATAATTAAAATGAGACGTGCCCTTAGAAATTTTCACAACAGTTCTGGTTTGAGACTGGAGGAAAAAAGCCATAAAACTTGCATTTCTTGATTAACTTAAAGACTGACCTGTAGCAGCTGTGTTGCTGTAGCTCTTTGTTCAGGATTTTTCACTAAGCATTTCTTCACAAAATCTGTGAATTCATCTGACCAGAGCTCTGGCTTCCGGAAGGTTGGAGGGGGATTTGTAGGAATCATAAAAATAGCCTAGATAAAAATCAAACAACAATAGCAAGTTTAAACAAAACACATCATCACAGCACTGAAGCCAAGTAAATAAATTGCTTTATCCACCTTTCTTATCAGGCTAAGAATCTGGAAGACAAATTTTAAGTAAGCTAGGATTTCCACTCAGATCGAGATTCAGGAAGTCAATCCATCTGCTACTAATGTAGCTACTTCCCATTAGATTTTCTCTATTTAAACTGTACCCCATTGAGCACATCACTCATTATTTTATCTATTGCTGTTTATCAGTTTCAAGAGAGGATTTTGTTCATTTGGAAATTCTTAGTAGAAATTACGGCACTGCTTGTTTAAACAGACACATATAACGTTGCTGTGAAAAGCTAAGTCCACCTTCTCTCTTAACTGCATTTAGTTTTATAGGAGAATTGCTTAGGAAATTTGGTAGGATTACTATTCCCTTTTGCACTCACAATTCTTTAGATGCAGATTTAGAAACATATGCTAAAAGATTGAAGACAACACTAAAAGATGACAAAAATAAAATAATCAGTAACTTGCCTACTGGCAGTGGGAATGTGAAATTGAAGTGGCAGCATTTTCCCTATACAACAGAAATTTCACGCTGTCAAGAATGATACTCAGACAGATTTTTCAATTAGGAAAAAAGATTCATACTACATTTTTTAAAAAAAATGTTTGTCCCACTTAAGGTTATATATATTGTGCCATTTTCTTTATTATTTTTTCCAGGTTTCCCTCTAATTATAGATTTAGACCAGTAGGCGCGAAAAGGCATTACAATTCTGAAAGACTACTGTAAAATAATTGGAAATTTTGAACTTCTGTATGCAACCTCTCAAATGAATTCAGTATCATTGCTTAAAATTTTGGCAGGAGGGTTGAACTAGATGATCTCCAGAGGTCCCTTCCAACCCTGACCATTCTGTGATTTACACATGACAGCAACACACTATTTAGAACTAGGTCTATTGACAGAAATAATAAGTTACTATTTTCTTCTAGAACCACGTTCAATTCAACCTCATTTTTGAAAGTGAAAGTAAGTAAAAGCTCTTCATTTGTCTTTCTACAAGCATAGGCAGAAATATGCACTCAGAAAATGGGAAAATATTGAAATGAGAGACTATGCACAGAGTTAACATAGTAGAGGCACCAGAAGCTTCAGCCTGTGTTTGAAACACGGGGAGAAGGGAGAGGGACATTCCCGAGGTTTTATCTGTAACTTCTTAAAAGGTCTGACTGGCCTGGAAAAATGGGTTAACTTGTTCAAATCCTCATTCTGAAATTCTTCCCATACGCTGAAGAAAAGCGGAGTCCATTCAAAACGACGCAAAAAACTGTTTAGTATAATTTAATGAAAAATTATTTCAGTACCAAGTAGTTTGCTTTAATCCAAATATTTAAACATTTACAAAACTCGTTTTATTATCTGCCTAATACAAAAATCACAAGGCGAGAAATGGACATTTTGTTTAATAAAGACATACGCTATAATAACTTTATATATTCAGTGGGCAGCTGTACCAAACTAGTACATGAACTCAGATAGGAAACGTGGCACTCTTATTACCCTGTAACTGGCCTTACCTACTTCACTTGTGATACAAGATTAATTGTCAGTACAAGTGAAGTGCTTCTCATATAAAGCAGTGGCTAACAAATTCTGCTGTTTCTGTCCTTGACAGTAATGATCTCTTCTGAACTTTGAACTGATGACTTTTAATCTTATCTTTAGCTACTCTTAACAACTAGCTCTGCAGTAGCTATTGAAAACACACAGCCGTAACAGAAGACTAGTAACTTCTGTTAATGTGGTATCAAAATGTATACCTCCTGTTTGATAATAAACATTGACCTGTCTCTCCGCAGGTAAGCAAAGCTTAGTTTCGGAGTCCAACTCAGCTCCAACGTTCCAGGAATACTATTTGCCTTTGCCAATTATTTTCATGAACTAAACAGCAGTTAAGAACCACAGCAAAGAAGTGACTTCTTTATAATTCACAAAGGACTATGAGAAGAAAGAGGGAATTCATGAATCATTCTTTTATGGCAGGCAATAAAAGTCACAAAAGGAGATATTCAAGAGCTAGGGTTAGGGTCTAAATCCACATTTATGCTTTGTATGTTTTTGAAAATACCCATTTCAGAAACGTGCATATTTATTTAATGCTTAAACTGTAGGCTTTTTTAAATCTTGATATGTGACGAGCTGTTAGCTGAAAAAAAAAAAAAATAGATCCTTTTTTGTAATACAAGAAGACATATAGAAACTACTTATTCCAAGTATTTAGACCAACTTGTTAACTATGCCACGCACTTGCTATCGCATACCTCTCCCCCCAGCTCTCATCGCTCCCTTTCGTTAACTAGCCTGAAATGCTGGTTTTCAATTCCATCTTGCCCCTCTACTTCATCATTTTGGTTGCATATTTCTCTGCATAAAAGTTAAGCTCCCTCTCTCTTTCAAAACATTCCATGATTTAGCTTCCAACTACTTCTGTTTCCTTCCAAGAAGCTTGCAAAGCAATCACTGGAGAATTATAAAGCTAGTCCCAAATCTCCAGGAATAAAAACAAAATGCTTATCTGACAGGAACTTATTCCTCATTTTTGCTTCCATTTCTTGTCAAATACATCTTTTTTTATACTAAAAGAACTCTGTCCTGTTTTAAAAGAAAACTGAGTTGTTATAGTCACTCTGTTCCATGGGTGCTAAAGGAAGCGGGAAACTTAAGAGACTTGGGGTTTTTTCATGCTTCTTTTATCTTACCCTATATTTCTTCAGTCCCTATAGGAATTTTTTGCCTCCACTCCACTTTTAATTTTCTCTACAAGTTTCCCACAGCTATTGGTATTAGTTCGGCTCTCGCAGTAGGGCTGATGGCAATGCTCATACAGCCAGTGTTAGGCACTGTTGCTTAAAAGAAAAAAAAACAAAACAAAACAAAAAACATATAAGCTACCATCCACCCAATTACATAGGCTGAATTGGCAGTAACATCTGCAGGAAACATTAGGAGGAAATTGCTTAACAGAGGGGGCAGGTTCTGATGCACTATGAAAGCGCTGGGGCTAATATCTCTCTCTCTCTCTCTCCCACCTTCAACATCACCTTCCACATTTCCCCACATATCTGAGACAGACTGGCAAGTCTTGCTCGTAACACATCAAATATACAGCCAAGGTGTTAGATCATACGACTCAGTCTTCAGTTTTAACCAATTTTACAAAAAAAAAAAATCTCTAAGCTGCAAGACATCAGAACTCAGGCCTGAGGGACCATGAAACTTAATCAGTGTTTGTTTGTCTTCACCCACCTTTAAGAGTGCCCATTCCAAACTTGCCCTGAACTGGCCCTTCCACCTCTGAACCTTGAGCCCAACTCTACTTTGGATCTTTCATATATTGCTCTGAGGCAAGTCCTACACCCTACAGTGAAACCAGAATCCAAGGCAGATTACAGTATATACATGACATAAGATGGGGTGGAAGATGTATCATCCAGAGCAGCTTCCAGTGGCCAGTTCTGAACTGGGCACTAGACAATCTAACACAGTTTCTACCGTAACTGTTGCCTGGAAGCACTTACCTGTCCAATAACCAGCAGTTACGGTTAAGCTGAATACTGGACTGAGGACCAGGTCTTAAATGAGAGTAGAACTGCACAAGTCAGCACCTGATTTTCTTTTTATTATTCTTAAAGGGCCTAGCATTTTAAATGAAGTCCAGGCTGAAAACCTATTTTTCATGAAGGTTCCTTTATGGGCAATTTTATTGGTGTGAAAATGTAATCAGATGAATTAGGGAATGCCAAAAGAAAAATGAGACACTCATATACTGCATTTGGGATTTCCTAATCAGAAAATCCTTGCAGCTCATTCTTCCTGGCAGTCAGGGTAATACATCTGTATTTCACACAGCCCATGAACACATTAAATGATGAACAGTAATATGGTAGAGGTACTACGTCTTTCAGGTTTTAGCTCCTTGAATAACTTACTTCTATTGCTTAGTTTAAATAAATGACTTTAATAAATATCAGGAAATCAAAACAATAACTTTTACTGTTCTTATTTGCCCAGTATCATGAATGCTACTAAGGGAGACAGACAGCAAAGATTTTATATTGCAGCAATTTTATAATTTTCATGCTGTGAAGCTCCATTGCTAGAATCTACAGAGAGAAACTTTTTTAGGAAGAGGTTAAGGATACAAGACATCCACAGGCAGTTTGTGACTCCATATTTATGCTACTTAGTTCATCAATTTACTGCAGAAAAACTCCGAAATACATTTAAACTCAGTAACACATATCAGAGTACAAAATCCTATTTATGGCTGGGGTGTTTAAGTATTGAATACTGTAACATTTTATTGGCTTTAGAGACAAAGAATCAACTGAAAGACATATTTTTCTCCTCTTTGTGACAGATGTCATAGAACTTCCCTCCCTTCTTCAATAGCCTTCAAACTGGCTATTGAAACACCACTAATTATTCAATTACACAATTTAACAGCTGTCTAGAAATGAAACACCAGCACGGACAAAAAGATATTAAAAAAAAAAAAAGAGAGATACAGACAGTTCTACATTGGTTTTGCTTTGTTGATTTTTTTTTTTTTGGGGGGGGGGGGGGGGGGGGGGTTTGTTTGGTTTTTTAAATGCAGAACTACCATCATTGTTACAACGATTCTTTTTGGAAAACTTTGTAACAGTGAAAAACAAAGTTACTGAACAATGCCTTGTGTATAAAGACAGGAAGTCGATTTATGATCTGCTTCAGTGTAGATAATAAAACTAATTGTTAAAAGCACCCTAAAAAATCACCAGCTTCCTCCTCCTGTCTGCAACACAGTAGTTCATGAAGATCTAGCATGCTCACACTTTTTGTGCAGAATTACAAATAGGTCTGGTTCCATCAGACATCTATCAGATACCTGAACCAAGGAGATTCTCAGTATCCCTTGAGTTTGATAAAACCCTTAACTGGAATCTAG